ATATATATATATATATATATACAATGTACAAGATAAAAATATATACACACCTGAAACAACATGCAGCAGAAAACTAAACACCACACTCAACAATATTAAGTTACGATCCATTGAAATTATTTTTTGATTTAGTAAATATAATATATATAGAAATATCTCTTTTTTTCTTTCACCTTTTGTGGCAAAGTAAAAAAATAATTTAGTTGTTATTCAGTATAACATTTATGGAACGCAGTTGGGAATAATGATTTGGTTTCCCATCTGTGACATCATAGGGGTCCTACTAAATTGTTACTTAATATAGATTTTTTATTTTTAGTATAATTATGTAATAGATAAGGTAAGTTTACGTAAATCAGTGTTAATCTGTCATTGTAAAATTAAAATTTCGGATTAGAATGAATTGCATAATCTATATGTTAAAAGTGCAAAACTATATTGTGTCTATTAAAGAATAAATACTAATTTCATTTAACTTAAGTTTTAACTTATTTATGAATTTGTAAAAAAGGAAAAAAAGAATGTAGAAAAAATAAATTGTAAATATCTATATCATAATGTCCTATTCATCACCAGCCTATCGAAATCTTCATCAACACATTGAAAAAAAAAGAACTGTAAGTTTGAGTTTTGTATGGAACAGAATTAATGCATTTATTCTATCTTGCTTGATGACATTGGAACTTGCATTATGCTTAATTCCATCTTGCTTGATGACATTGGAACTTGCATTATGCTTGATTCCATCTTGCTTGATGACATTGGAACTTGCATTATGCTTAATTCCATCTTGCTACATGACATTAGAACTTCCATTATGATTGATTCCATCTTGCTTTATGATATTTAAACGTTGCATTATTCTGGATTCCATTTTTCATTATTTCATTCAAACATTTCGTAGTGACCAATTCTTTCATTGAGTGATAACTATTAAACTGGAACAAGCCATTTGGAATACTAAAATGTTAACGTCTTATACCTTTATGTATAAGCTACCTTTCTTCATGCTCTATACAAACCATTTACGGTTTAGTTTTTTTGTATTACTTTTATGTAGAAGTCATTTAAAATTGACTATTTTTTGTTCCCTGATGGATTTTGTTAAAATGGGACTTATTTGATTTACAGCTCGCATGGCGTGATTACTATTAGCTTTCGCTTATATCCATTATTCAGTGTTTATGCTTAATAAAGCTCGGTGTCTGAGGCTTTGTGGATTATGTTTGATCATCTTACATTATGATAAACAATTTAAACAATGTCTAGCGATTTGTGAACTGTTAAGGGGCGAGAACTCTGTTATCGATATCAACGGATTTTTTCCATGATTCGCCTATCATCGGAATTTTCCGTACATGTATATATTACGGAATACCGTTAGGGCCATCGTGGTTATACGTTAAAATACAGAGGGCGGCGACAATGCTATAAATACGTACCAAGCGCTTAATACATAAATTGCAGTGGAAAGAATATAAATACAAGTAGTAAGGATTATGCAATATAATTTTATACATGTATATGTATACAGTCTAAAAGAAAAAATATGCTCGTAAACAGTTATTCAATGGGGCAGTTATACGTACAGTGGCGGATTCAGGCCTTGGCTTAAGGGCTGCACCTACCCCCAAAGATACGTTGATGAGCTGGGATGGAATATATACGTGTAAGTTTCATGCAATAGTGGTCATAGTGTACTCCCTTATCAAAACATATAATGCTGTCATCCAGTTGTTAAGCACCTGCCCAGGTACTGCGATTGCGAAGGTCTTTATCTAATGACTTGGACATCATAAGCAAAACTTATTAATTGGCCTTTTAACTTAATAAATGTCCCAGAGTCACTATTAGTGGCGAATATAGGTATGTAACACATTAAAATATACATGTATAATAAGGAAAGAAGGAAGTTGTTTATTTTTGTGACATGTGCATAGTCAATTACAAATGTTGGGCAAATGTGTGTCTGATTATAGATCAGACATCCCGCACACACCACCACATTCACATACATGTGTGCTTAAAGATATACTATGCACATCTTTCAGTAATATATTTTTATCACAGAAATTTATTGAAATCTATAAAATTCTTACTAAATATGTTTTATTTAAATAAAAACACATACACATAATGTATAGGAATCTGCTTTCCTTATTACGGGTCATGTAAAGTTGTGCCTGTCTTTAAAAGAAACTTCCTTATATATTTTTGTAATAACACTATACATGAATATTCATGCTGTCCAATTACAGTGTAAAGTATTTAAAGCACAATGTTTGTGTGAAGCCAAATTATATTTATTTTATTTTACAAAAAAAAAAATAAAAAAAAATCAAGTTTGTACTGTACTAAGTCGTGGCCACGAGTTACTAAGTGACATGTGTGTGTTTTTATTTATCTCTTTAGTTATAGCCCTTTGTTGGGACAATTCTATGATAGAATTGGTCATTTTGTACGTACAAAGGCCTGTTAACATTGTTTATACCATAACTTGAGAGGGACTTAGTCCTGGTTTATTTTATTGGGAAGGGACATTGCCCATGGACAGTAGATATCCTATAAGGATGTTTGAGGTCACAGGTCAGATAAACATGACACTTCATGCAAAATCCTTGTCTGATGAATGATTTAGAAAGAATAAGCCGTAGTTTATATAACCTAAAAAGATCAGTAGATGACACCTAATAATTTTTAGGCAATTTGGTCAGAAATCAGGGTCACAATGACGCTAAATCTTTGACCAATCAATAACTTGTATAAATGGCACTTTTACGGACAAATGAAGTAGGGGCATCCTTGTTAGGAAAATTCATATAAATAGTGTAATTTGATTGGTTATTTATCTCGTTCGCACGACTTAACTTTTTCGTGGCCACGACTAAACTTTCTCGTGGCCACGACATAGTAACTTGTTCCAACGACTTATTTATCTCGTGGTCACGACTTAGTAACTCGTGGCCACGACTAAGTTATCTCGTTCCCACGACTTAATTACCTCGTGGCCACGATTTAGAAACTCGTGGCCACAACATAGTATCTCGTTCCCACGACTTAACTATCTGACGGCCACGACTTAGTAACCCGTGGCCACGACACAGTATCTCGTGCGCACGAGATAAATAAAAACACACACATGTCACCTTCGTGCCACCTTAAGTTTGATAAAATTCAATTTCACTTTATAATATCACACACGCTCAAAAAGAAGTGTAAACAATTGTATAAGAGGTGAGTTGCCACTGGTAGGTTGAGTTATTAGAGACATATATAACTTTTTTTTTCCACATGCTGGCGGAATCTTCAAAAACACGCACTTTTCGTCTGTTGCATCGTGTTCTCTTGTTTTTTAGTAAATTTACATGTCAGTCCCCAACTAACACTGTTCTGTATACGCCCCTATATAAAGTGGACGTTACTTTGTTTACTCCACGTTCCAAAATACGGGATCATCCGGAAAATAACGGGAGGTACCGACAAAGCGACACCTGCTGTCATAATATGAACACAAATTATTGCAACTCGTATTATGCTTACTGCCAACTGCTTAGTGCGTACTGTCACATGCGACTATAATATCGCTATCGTTGTCATCTTCGTTGTCGATGCGCAGTGATCATGTATTGCATTATATTTGTAATCAGTGAATATATTGAAGCATATGAATGCTAAGACACATCAAATCAGCCAATTATTGATCAAAATGAATAGTTTAATTTGACATAATGTCGACAATATAAGTGGCAGATTTATAGCAAATTAAAGATACAACAACCATGTTACATATAGTTATAAAGAATGTTATCTTAAACACCAAACATAATACGTTGTCCTTAAAAAAATGCAATTAAACATATAGCATATTAAAATATGTGAGTTTGATGGTTTAGTAGGGAACACACAAGGTTGCAATTACATGAAAGTGCATTCAGTAATCATAAGGCATGATTGAATTCAGCAAAACGCAGGTTTTCATTGTCATAAAGAAGTATAGAAGCAAGCATAATGTAAGTTCCGATATCATAAAGCAAGATGGAATAAATGCATTAATTCTGTTCCATAGTTTTGTCTTAGTTCAAATGAAAGATCATAAAAGCTTTGTATAGGTTTTACCATCAACAGAACAGTGCATTCTCTTAAGATTTTCAAATTTCCCCACAAGGGCTGAAAGGGACAATTGGTTGAAGTGTTTTGCTAACACTTTCCACAAGAAATTGATAAAATTTATTTCATCTTTTATTATAGGAAAAAGAATGTGACAAAGAAATTCATTTGCCCTTTTAAAATTAACATAACCTCTGCGCATTGTTCACCTTTCATTTCTTGTCCTATAACTTTTTATATTCATCTGTGACGAGTACAATATAAATATTTAAAGATTTTCATAGATAACATAAGTTCAATTTATAGTGCAATAATATTGTATTTTATTCACGCTGTAGTTAGAATAATGTCATTAAAGTAGGATTAAATTATTTATTCTATTTCCTATTCTGTATTATTGTGTACATATTGTTTGATTGTTTATTAAGTTACGTATCCATCGTACGAGTAAGTTGTATACTAAACATGTGAGTGGATGTCTTTCCCTATGACGTCATTATTTAATAAGATTTCAGCACATAAAATCACGTCTTTCGGCAAAGGAAGATATTATATCGAGTAAAAGTCCACCTTCATCGGGTTTTACAGATGGAACAGTAAACAGTACATTATTTATGTATTATTTATTATTATTGTAGAAACCGAAAGTACAAAATGTCTACCTGTTGACATGTATTCTGATTTAATTATACATGTACTTCATCAGGTTCAGATTGATTATGATTGCCGATCATAATTTTACCGAAATAGACTTTATTTTACTTTGGATGTCATTTTAACATTGTAAAATTAAGATTGATAAATGTGTGCGATGAACATGAAAATGCAAAAACACATATACAGGTTAATACTTTTCATACACATTATACATTATCAAGGATTACTCACTCAGTTTTGTTAACATCTAAAACAAGTGGTGGAACTATTTTCAATCCGCATTAAGTCCGACCTTTTATTGATAATAGCCGAGATTTTCCGATTGAAATATATGCTCGTGTACACCGGTCTTACTGACCTGTGTGAAACTACTCTAAGGCAGCACACCACAATAAATGAAGCCACAGCTTCGAATGGCCAGGGAGGATTTCATGGATATAGTGACTATTGTGGATTTAAAAGACTGGTTGTCTTTAAAATGCATTTTCAGCATGAAATTTGTTTTTTTGACATGTAATATGATCACTGGCAAATTCGAAAACATGGTTAGAAATCACATGCTGATAATTATTGATGTCAAGGTCGCCATTGTTTGTAAACATTGCTTTTAAACAGCATGCTCGGTGAAAACAAGTAATTTTACAGGGGGATACAAACTTTCAGCAATAGCAAAAAATCTACAAGGCCAAGCACCTATTTCTTTGTGATATTTTGCATGCATAGGGAGTTGCTAAAGCAGTGACAGAGTTTCTGTAGACCGTATATTTGCAAGTATTTTTTGCCGGAGGGACGAAAAATGTTGTTTTAGGTCTCGGACCACTATAGATTTTTGGCTTTTACGGAATGAATTGGAATTTTTCTAACTGCCTGACTGTTGCACATGGGATGATTTCATTACAGATTTGCAATGTTATGACATATATGTTCTTAACAAAATGTGTTTTCTTTTTCCAGGTTGTGTAGTTTGGGATCAGATTTATCAGACATATTGCTTGTAGGACATTGACGGCAGAAACTTGAAATTTAGTGTGGAGTGCTACCTAAGCATGATGGGAACGCACTACTTTTAACATGGCGGCTCGAACACGTATGCTAGTAGTTCGTCCACTGTTAGTTTTAAACCGAAAGTGAAAGTAGTTTTGAATAGTTGAATAAATAGTAACACAGTCAAACTATTGCACTTGCAATATTAAAATCTGAAAAAAAAAAACAGTGACCCCTTGGAAGCAATAAACGATTTTAATGACTTGAAAAAATAAATTGTATTTTATAAAATAAAATCGTCATCTCTACGCGGACTTCTTTATGTCGGAGTCAATTTTACCCTCATTGGGGATGAGTCGTACGACACAGGTCAATATTTGAGAGATCGGTGTAAATACAATGCATAAGTGTCCGTTATCCTTAAAGGTATTTTTATTTGGAAAATTAAATTCATCGAACTTATGCCCAAAAGTGTGTCTCTCTTAGTGTAGATCTTATGTCGTTAACAGTTTATTTCACAACATAACCAGTATGAAATGGTTACTCATTGGCCAATCACCTGAATCATATGTTGCGTCTGTTGATTTCTGGGAATAAATTATAAATATGTGTTAGTAATAAGTATTTGGTGCGGAAATCAAAAAACTACTTTATTTACATTGTTCTTCCTTTTTCACATTCAGCACTTTTTTCTCCAGGCAATGAGCATCTTACATACCCTACAACTATTTTTTAAGTATATCAAAATTCACGATAAGAAAATATCTGTTCGTTTAATGGGTAAAATGTGCCGTTAAACGAGCGATTGATTGATTATTTTCTTTTAGTAATTTTTCTCAATTTTATCGGTAAGATATTTCCTTATAGGCTAGATATTTTGAAATTAAACCTCAAACTAATTCCTTCAGAAAACTTTTCTTGATAAAATGAAAAACCCAAACCAAGACTAGAGGTAAGTATTATTTCATCATCTTTGTGTTGTATTTACAAAATCTTAAAACTATATTTGTCATTTTATGCACGCAGGCGAAATAGAAGTAGACAAGTTTTGCAGATGACAAATGGTGTAACCTGTTTCCGCGACTTCTAGAAAAAATAAATGCTATTTTCTTTTAAGTAGCTGCCGAAACTTGTTTCAAATGATACATAATAACTAGAATATCATAATACTATTCAAATATTTAATTATATGCATGGTTTATATAAAAAATAATTTGAAACAAAAACGCGGCAAGGTCTTGCATTACTTTTTTTTCTACGGAAGCGGATAAGCGACAAAAGTCGACATTTTTTCACTTTCTGTAACAATTGTATTTTTTGAGAGTTTTGTGTAGCATTGCCTTGTTTTTAGCATCAGATCAGTTTTTTCACACCATTTTTAATATATTGCATATGCCACATTTCGATAAATAGTGCTCACTTGTTATCTACATATTGTTTTAAAAAGCAATGTATCACGAATTATACACTACTATGATGTTATATACATTTTCTTTTCTTTTAGTGGAGAAACGCCTAAATTCATCATTTGTATGCTCTCAGACGATCAACCAATAGCAAAACTAGGACTTACTAAAGCCAGCCTAAATAAGGGTAAATCAAATAATTTGCATTTTCATTACAAATAGATATTAGAGTAATTAAGGGTTTTAACAAATTGCATACTTTTTGTTTTATCACATTTGATTCCCTTTTTTATACCCCGCAGAACAAAGTTGTAAGGGGGGTATACTGGAATCAGCTTGTCCGTCCGTCCGGCCGTCCGTCCGTCCGTCGGTTTTTTCTTGTCCGCCCAATAACTTAAGATTCCTTTGACCCTTAGTCTTCATATTTGGCATGGAGGTTAGTCATGATTAGTAGATGGCCCCTATTGATTTTGAGGTCACTAGGTCAAAGGTCAAGGTCACAGGGGCCTTGACTTCAAAAAGCTTGTCCGCCCAATAACTTAAGATTCCTTTGACCCTTAGTCTTAATATTTGGCATGGAGGTTAGTCATGATTAGAAAATGACCCCTATTGATTTTGAGGTCACTAGGTCAAAGGTCAAGGTCACAGGGGCCTTGACTTCAAAAAGCTTGTCCGCCCAATAACTTAAGATTCCTTTGACCCTTAGTCTTCATATTTGGCATGGAGGTTAGTCATGATCAGTAGATGACCCCTATTGATTTTGAGGTCACTAGGTCAAAGGTCAAGGTCACAGGGGCCTTGACTTCAAAAAGCTTGTCCGCCCAATAACTTAAGATTCCTTTGACCTACAGTCTTCATATTTGGCATGGAGGTTAGTCATGATTAGTAAATGACCCCTATTGATTTTGAGGTCACCAGGTTAAAGGTCAAGGTCACAGGGACTTTGACTTTAAAAAGTTTGTCTGCCCAATAACTTTAGATTCCTTTGACCCACAGTCTTCATATTTGGCATGGATGTTGATCATGATAAGTAGATGACCCCTTTTGATTTTGAGGTCCATGGATCAAAGGTCAAGGTCATAGGGACTTTGACTTCAAAAAGTTTGTCTACCCATTAACTTAAGATTCCTTTGACCCACAGTCTTCATATTTGGTATGGATATTGATCATGACTATAAGGTGACCCCTATTGATTTTGAGGTCACTGGGTCAAAGGTCAAGGTCACAGGGACCTTGACAAAAAAAAGCTTTTCTTCTCAATTGTTAAAGAATGTCCTGTCCGCAATGTATTGATTTTGACATTTTCACATTTGAAGCATGTAGAATACATAACTTAGCAATGCACTGTCTTAGTAACCTCAGATTTGGCAGGGAGGTTGTCCTTGAGCTCTAAATGGCCACTGTTGATTCTGACAAAGTGGTATGCGGGGGTATTCAAGCCATGATAGTGGCAGTTCTAGTTAATTCATCTGTAATTAATATTCAGATTAAATCTTATTTTAATTAAATGTCAATATGTTTAACTAGTTGTTTTTTTTCCAGGTGATAAGTTGTTTGTTGTTCCTTGAAATGTCGTTCATCTAGAATGTAGACGGACCAACTGTCATCCAAATCAAAAAAGACAAACTAGAACTGAAACAGAGTTACCTCAAAATAGAGAAAAACAGAATCCCTAAAGAAAGTCCACCACAACAAAATTGAAAATGTTGCAGGCTCGGTTTGGTTGAGCCTGTTTATAACCAAGAACCCGACACAAATCTTAAAACATTTTTGATTTTGAAAAGAATTTCTTATTTTGCGGGTCTTATGCTAAAATCGGGGCAGGAAATAAACGGGGATTTGATACATACCCGGTAAGAACATTTGACTTTCAAAATACAATAAGAGACGTATGTACTAAGAGACAGGATGATTGGGGAAATACAGTGTTGGGACGAATTGAATATGCACAAGATCTGCCGGCTGTTGAGGCACGATACCATCAATTATGCAGTTCAAACTTTAGATCTGGATACAACATTCCTAAACAATACCAAGCACCTGAATTTGTTAACAGTAAAGCTAAAAAAGGCAGACCGACCAAACCTTGTGCTGAAAGTGCTTTCTTTAAAATAATTGAAGATTTTGAAAATAATGTGAATGATCAAACAACTATATCAGATCTTGTTGATAAAATGAGGGAACTTTGTGGAGACAATGCTTACAGTACTGTTTATATGAAGAAAAGGGTAATTGAGCATTTTGGTGGAAGGGTAACAGTAACTGAATTTAATGGAAAGCATAATGTTATCACATTCAAAAGCAATGCTGATGCCATTTTACATGCATTTTACCGAAGAAATGGAACAAATGATAGTGAATCAGAAAAAAGAATGATAATCAAAACTGCAGCAAAACTTATTTTCAACGACATTAAATCAGATAAATATCAAAAAGAAATATATCCCAGCTCATCAGAAGTAATGTCGTCTGATTTTAATATGAAATTCTTACCCAACAGCCTTCAGCTCCTGTTAATAGAATTAGTAAGCAGTAAAAAATCTGAAAAAAAGATATGTTCTATAGGTCAGGCTATTATACAGGCTGCTATACCAAAAGGAGTTATTGCACCCCTGCAAATAGGTTTGGGCGTACAGCTGCATCATCAGTTTGGGTCAAAATTTCTTATAGAAACACTCCATACTCTTGGATTTTGTTCCTCATATCATGAAGTTCAAAAGTTTGAAACTAGTGCAGCTTCTGTTTATGGAACCACTATACAAAAATCGAGTGATCAATTCATGCAATTTGTAGCAGACAATGTTGATCACAACACGGGGACACTTGACGGTTTCAATACATTTCACGGCATGGGTATTATTGCAGCAGTAACTCCAGTAATTGAAAATAAGCGTGCCATTCCTAGAGTAACTACAACTAATGAAGACCTCATAGCTGTTGGGAAAATAAATATTCATCAGTATAAACAAACATTAAACACCATGGAGCTATTGAAATTTAAGAAACTTGTAGATGTATATGACACTTATCAACCTCCAAAAGGTTTGGACTTCCTTATTCAATTAGCACGTCCACTTCGTCTTCAATCTCCTGGGTGGTCAGGAATCATGCAAATGGTACAAAGTGGTAATCACCCCGGAAAATCTTCGGTTATTTTCATGCCAATGATCGACATCAGTCCAGGTGATATGTCATGCATATACTCAACTCTAAAATTTGTAGCACTTCAGTGTCGCAGTCATAGCACAACACAAGTTATCACGTTTGACCAACCATTGTACTGGAAAGCGTTAAACATTATTATGAATGAATCCGAAGAAAGTGAGATAAAGAATGTTGTTGTTAGACTAGGTGGATTTCATACTGAAATGAGCTTTTTGGGAAGCATTGGAAGACTAATGGAAAACTCTGGACTTGCAGAAATACTCGGGACTATTTATGCTGCAAACACAGTTGGACATATGCTCACCGGGAAGGCAGTAAGTAGAGCCGTGAGAGGGCACTTCCTTGTGCATGATGTTCTTTACACCCTATTGATTGAGAAGGCATTCCCCCAACTTCAACAAGACAATAGTGATGATAATAATAATAACGAACCCATTGATGAGTTTATCCCAAATGCTAATTCTGTAGATGTTGACACTGTGAGAGAATTGTTTGAAAAGGTTTTGTCAAAAGAGTTATTGCCTGATGAAGTAAATGAGAACCACCTTATTAAAACATGCACTTTGAATTCCAAAATGCAAAGAAGGCGTATAAAGATTGCAGAACTGCACAACTTTGGTTGCAATATATAGACATGGTGGACATTCTAAAACGATTTATAGCCGCTGAAAGAATGGGGAACTGGAATGGCCACCTTACTGAAATCAGACGAACCTAGTTTAAATATTGAAACTGGGGCTGTTGCCGATGCCAATGTGAATGTAGACAAAGCGAAACTGATTGGTCAAACAATTTTAAATGAAATGGAAAACCAAAATGTGTCTGAGTATACTTTCAAACGTACAAATCAAGCAGTAACTCTTGGTACAAAAAACAGTCTAAAGATTAATGGTGAAGAAATCCATATTGATCCCCAGTTACTTTTTCAACGTTTAGTTATAGTGTCCGACAGCTCCTTGGAAAACATTGAGGAAATTTTTGAATATGAACTCTGTGCTAATCCGTCTGCTTTATTTGATTCTTCTGGGCTTTTAAGAGAAGCACAAAAGCCTAACTTGACAAATGCAATTTGGGAACTTGGGGTTTGTGGTGTTGATAGTATAGCGGAGCATAATCCATACTATGTTTTAGATGGAGGGTCTCTTGTGCATAGAATACCTTGGAACTATGGAGAATCCTTTGACCAAATATGTTCGAAATATGTAAATCTTGTTGAGAGAAATTACGGCCAAGCGCATGTCATTTTCGATGGGTACAGCAGTGGGCCTTCAATAAAAGATGTTACGCATTTACGGCAAGCAAAAGGGGTTATTGGTACGAAAATAAATTTTGATGGGAGAAATCCATTCATAACAAAAAAGGAAACTTTTCTGACCAATCATGAAAACAAGCAAAATTTTATCAACCTACTCGGATATTATCTCAAAGAAAAGAATTGTGTGGTACGGAATGCTACAGATGATGCTGATCTTTTAGTAGCTCTTACTGCAGTAGAATTAGCTGCGGAAAAACCTGTTGTTGTTGTTGGGGAAGACACGGATATACTTGTCCTTCTTTGCTACCATTCAGATACACATAATAAAAATATTTATTATAAATCCGACGCCAGAAATACATTAAAAAAGAAAAAAATATGGGACATATTGAAAACAAAAGCAGTGTTGGGAGCTGAAAATTGTCGACATTTGCCATTTGCACATGCGTTCACCGGTTGTGATACAACATCGCGAATATACGGTATAGGAAAAGGCATTTTCTTGAAAAAATTAATCAATGACGTCGAGTTAAAAGAACAAGCTGAAGTGTTTTCTCGTGCATCATCACATGCTACTGTTGAAGCTGCTGGAGAAAAAACCATGGTTAATATATATAATGGTACGAAACATGAAGGCTTAAACAAATTACGATATCAAACATTTGTACACAAGATAGCTAACAGTACAACTTTTGTACAGGTACAGACTCTTCCTCCGACTAAAGCAGCATCGAAATACCATAGTTTCAGAGTGTACATGCAAACACAGACATGGATAGGCAATAATATCAATCGAGCGGATTGATATTATTGGGTTGGCTGAAAAAAAAAGATAATAAATTATCCCCAATAAAACATATTTACCTGCAGCACCGGAACGACTGTTAAAGATAATTAAATGTAGCTGTAAAGCAAATTGTAACACTAAACGGTGTACATATCGCAAACACGGACGATGCTCTGCCAGCTGTGGTGAATGCAAAGAAATAAACTGTAGTAATGTGGAAACATTCGAAGAGGACTTAAATGAGTAATTGTGCATAAACCAATACTTATTACAAAGACTGATAGCTGTAATTGCAATCTATATTTTAGTGTTTCCTACATAATAGATATATTATAATTCAGTTTTTATATTGGATTAAAAATTGTATCCTGTTTTAGTTTGTGTTGCCTAAAATGCTTTTTAAATCCGTTTTTTACCATAACTGTTAATTTTGAATGTAAGAAACGTTTAAGAATAAGCATAACATACATTACAAATGCTTTAATTATAGTGGATGAAAAATGGGCCAAATAATTTAGTTGAGACAGTTATAAGCTGAAGTGTATATACTACCCGAAATAAGGTGGGTCGGTACATTTATATCTTATTTTTTTCTCTTAAAGGTAATAATATACAGTCGACATTGTATTAAGAGACCACTCAAGGGACTGCCAAAAAGTGGTCTCTTAATAGAGTGGTCTCTCAATAGAATTCTGGAAAATTCGAGACTTTTTTATATATCAAGTCATAGATATGATAACATCTTTTTTATAAACACAAAAACTGTACAATATTATGTATGTATTACAGTTTCATAATAACATTTATGCCTTTTTTTAAAAAAGTTATCAATATGTGTTTGTTTTTTAGTAGAAATTTGTGTACAAATGTGATCTACGCTCATAATACTAACATGTCATTTTGACCATGAAACAAAGCATATTGTCTTATATTGTTAATATGTTCATGCACATCTCCTGCTGAACAAACATTCAAATCATAAGCCACAGCTCCAGATAATTTTTCATGCAATGAGTTTTAAACTTTTTGATTTTTTTCATGCAAAAAGTTTTCACACTACCCCGATTTCAAATTCAATAAGGTTTTTAGAGATCTGGGATTTTTTGTCTTTTTTTTTGTCGAAGGGTCATATTTAATGGGGTACTACACGTATTTCATAAAGCATCAGATAAGCATCTACACCATCAGCAACGAAAGTAATGTTTAGTTCACTACGTTTCACGGTTTTATTTCGACTACAAACGATGAAATTTGCTTTTAACTCAGACTCAATTCCATGCGCGATTTCCTCATTCAATTTATCGGTCTTTACTCTTATTAGTTGTCTGTTATTTTCGCTCGTTCCGGCGTCATTTTCGATTTGATTTTCTGGAAGGGAGATCACTCTGAGCACATGCGGTGTTGTGATACGTTATTGCTCTGACAAAATATGTCATAATAAATGTTACGATCGGAAAACTGTTTCTTTCTTCCCGATTTTGAAACGATTGCAATTATTATTCAATTCGTTTTTAAACGACAATTATTTGTAACGGTCGTTTAAGAGATACTTTAAAACCAAACACCATATAATTTGTTTGTTTGTTGTACACATCAAACCTACTCGCTGATTACTCAGGTGAGAATGCCCGTAGGCCGATTGTTTGTCACGGCCGTTTAATAGATACTTTAACACTTAATTTTGTACATTTGGGCCGACATTTAGTGGCCGCTGGCCGCGATATAAAATCGTCGTTTAATGGAATTAACTTATATAGTAAAAATCATTGGGAGGGATTTTATGCGGCCGCTTAATAAAAAAGTCGTTTAATGAAGGTGGACGCAAGTACGATGCCGACTGTATTTCTTTTAAGTCATTTGGTATTCGCATCAATGTTTTGATATCTCTATGGACACATATTACGAGATTTTATATCAAACATGTGTTTCTTATTGTTGTAAAATCCCGTATATTTCATAAAAGTGATATTTTTAGGTTTCAATTTTTTTTAAAGAGAGCTTAATAAAAGTTGATTTTTTTTCAAGTTTGGCTCGTGTATTTTTTGAGGACTTTTTTTCTGTAGCTCAATACACAGAACTGGCAATGAAAAAGCAGCAAATAGATTTTCTGAAGGAATTTGTTTAAGGTTTGACTCCTATTTCTGCTAAAAAAACTGAACTATTATAATATATTTATAATATATTTCAGTAGTTATATCTAATTTCTATATGTAATTCTGGAAACAAAGTGATCCCAAGGAAGCATTAATCACAACAAAATAACATAAAAATTGCAGACTCCGTTTGATTGAGTCTGTACATGAGGGATAATGAATAAGTGCAACATCCCTCACGCCCCCTAGCACCGGCTTGAGTGGTACTCAATTCTCAACACTTTATAGTGTTGGCATCAATGATCCCGAAGGACCAGAAAATATAACAACACTGAAGTGAAGTACGTGGCAACTTTTTACGGCTGCCACACGGCACTGTAAGCACATGTTTTGAATGATATCAGAACAGTGTAAGCAAATTTTCGAACGAAGAACGATGCAGGTTTGGAACATTAACATTGATAACAAATTGATAATTGGTACAATAACAAAACATAGATAAAATGTAAGGTAAAAACCCAGATGAAATGATATATTCAATGCCTTCAATGGTCCTACACTGGAACAAGTACTTTTGATGCCGGAAAGATACTTAGTTACTTAGAAAGTTCAGATATTCCAAAGAAAAGATATAATGAACTATAAAGATCCAAAGATTCCTCATACATTCTTACATGAAGTAGTAGTAATGCATTTAAACGATTGTATCACGTTTAGAAAGTAACATTTAATGAAATTATATATACAGAGAGACAAAGAATCTTTGAAAGAAAGTCCAAAAAACGGTAAAATTTAAAATGTCGTAGTTCGGTATGTAAATCCATCTTCAATTTGTCATTATTTTTATCTTTATTGTTGCAGAAGAGGAAACATATTTGAGCCGCGTCACGACAAAACCAACATAATGGGTTTGCGACCAGCATGGATCCAGACCATCCTGCGCATCCGCGCAGTCTGATCAGGATCCATGCTGTTCGCTATCAGTTTCTCTACTTGTAATAGAGTTGGTAAGCGAACAAAAGAAATCATAATCGCAAACAATGGATGAAAATGGCTAACCTCGAGTAAGTCGCCAAAGCAAAATCAGTGGTCAAAACAACCCCACCTGTTGGAGCTGCGAGACACATAGACTCCAGCTTTTCCAACCCATTTAGTCGCCTTTTACAATCACTAAGGGATAAACGAAGGTTGCAATTCTTTTGCCCGCAAACCCTCAGCCACAAGTGGCATTACACAAAAAGATGAAATGCTGAACTCTGATATTTCAATACAAATACACAATTCCTAAATCTTTTTTATAAAAGTTGTATAAATCCATTTTCTACTCGCAAGCATAAAGGGAATGCTTACCAATATTTTCTACGAACGTAGATCCAGTTAACTTGTTATTTGTTTTATAGTTTTATTTGTTCGAAATATCATTTTGAATGTTGATTATCAATCTCAATATTTAAGCAATTAGTAGAAATTTCAAGGTAAATGTTTTAGGATGTGGCGACTAGTGGCAGAATGGCATTGTTATGAAAAAAAAAATAGATAATAGACCAGCTATTATGTAAGAATAACTTTAAATGAGAATTTAACTTAACATCATCAATTTGTGTTTATATGCCTGTTTAAATTACTAATTATATCGAACGTTCGCTAGAAATTGGCGAAACTTGTAAACTCTCATTTGATGGGGAAAATGTCACCGAATAACACAACGTAAATTTGTAAGTAACCAATTACAGAAGATACATCAGTACCTTTAATGTCCTTAGGGTTTTGAAATAATTATCTTAACTTAGTTTCACGAAATACATGCGATCTAATTTGTTTTGAGAAAAGAAATACTGTACATATTGAAATGTTGGTATCGGTAATTGTTCTTTCTTTATATAGTTCATACAATCATTTTTCTATGTCACTATAATAAAAGATTCAATTTTCTCCGTGTGAAGTTCCTTGAAAGGTTCAGGCACCATAATTGCAGCCGCCGTTTATATCTGCTTGATCGTAAGAGGTGACTAATTGGGTTCAGATAACTGAAGTCTATTAATCTCTTAGCTCCAGCAGGGTGGTGATTTTGACCCCTGGCCCCGTGTTCAAAAAGAAAAGATCAGGACCAAATGATCCTGATTTTATTTCCATTGTTTCATAAAACTAAAACTAATCGTATTTTTCTAGAATTAAATTGTACATATTGGAAATGTAAAAATTGCTGATTTGCAAACAAAGCAAACTATTTTGTGATAAAACCAAAGAATAATAAAACAAATACAAACATTATCTGATCAAAACAAGGATCAATTTTAGGATCAAGATCAATATAAGGATCACCTGTAAAGCCTGTATCTTGCAAAATAACAATAAAGTTATTCTTATATTACATAAACATGCTATTTTAAGTCCAGTTTTATCAAGTTAATGTTAAATATTTAATTCATAATGTTAAACAATGGAGAATATTTTAGTTTTTAAATTTGATCCTGATCTTGATCCTGATTATTAAATCTTTGTGAAAACGGGGCCTGGTGTTGGTTTAAGTTTGTAACACCCAAGGTTAGCCTAAAATCATTTTTCCTCTGTCAGTGATTTGTTGGTGCGCATTTAAACCAACAAAACCAACAAATTACTGACTATCTTGAAAATGAATAAGATGAGTGATAAAGTTTAACATTAAAAGTATAGCTTCAATTAAGTGAAAAGTTACATGAAAAAAGTCATTAATTTTCCTATCAGTCTGCTATGATGTACTTGAGAATAGCACATTTTCATTATATACAAATTTCACACGTCTTCTCAAATCATAAATTTATGACTGGAAAACTAAGACAAAAACTGAGTTAAAACAATACTTTTCTATTAATTCATTAATTGCAAACTGTACTATATTACTTTATATTATTCTGCTCTAAGTATTTCAGACTTTTGAAAGCGTATCAAAAATGAATGACCAGGTATTTAATCATTTTGGCATTTTATACAGTACTGTCTCAGACCACCAA